CTGCTCGAGCAAAATGAATATACTCGACCCGCCAAGGAGGTCTGTTATACCATAAATACCCGAACCGTTGGACCGCTCCTCTCGAACCGGGTTGCGTCTCCTTGATCGTCGGTACCTGCAAAACACGCCGGGGGTGATCCCGGCGCGCACACTCCGACGCTCAAGTCAGTGATGGTCTAGAGAGAAAACGGCAGAGTAACGAGATAGTTTGTGAAATGTATCTTGTGTAAAATGAAAGAACCTGCTCCCTTTTATAGGAGAAATAAGGAGAGTCCTAGTGGAATAAGAAGTCTTCTTCATATGAAACTCTCCATTTGGTTGAAAGGTCTTCTGAATCCTGAGAGTCCTAGTCGCTACCAACTCCTCCGTAACTTGATCCCGAAGCCATCTTCAGGCTCTAGCCCCTTCGACGGCATGCGAGGGCCGCCGAACACACGAGGGCCACCGGGCACCTCCCTTGGCCGAGCATTCTCCCACGCCAAGCACTCGCCCACGCCGAACATTCATCCTACGCCGGGCACTCATCATACCGGATGATGCCGCGTCAGACACTCCATCCCGACCACCTCCAATGCCGAGCACTCGAGGGGCGCCGAACACCGTGCGATGCCGAGCACTCCCAACCGCCGACTACCATAAGGCTTAACCGATTCCCTTCATATGGACAATGATGACCGAATCACAACCGGTTCCTCACGAGCCACTACTAACGACCATATCATCTAGCCCCCCCATTCCTTAAACAAGTGGAACTCGTTGTAAGGAATGTGCTGGTATGGCTCGTATATTGACAAAAGAAAAAGGCAGGCTGATGCCTGCGAGCGTAGCGGAGCGAGCGTAGCGAGGGAAGCGGAGCAACCGAGCGGAGCGAGCGGAAGCGGAGCGACCGAGCGGAGCGAGCGGAGCTACGCGAGCGGAGCCCCCGCGGTACGGTACGGTGTTTTTAAGTCAATTTGCATTTTGTAGGATCGTCACGATCCCACGCGCCGCATAACGCCGAGCACCCACTGCCGTTCTGCCGAGCATCGCTTGGTGCCGACCCGTACCGGGCACTCCATGTGCCGAGCACTCCATGACACCCACCACTAAGTGCCGAGCACTTCCCATGACCCGCGCGGGGTGCCGAGCACCAAGTACCGCCGAACACTCCTCCGCGCCATGCACCGGGATGCCGAGCACAAGGCCGCCGAGCACCCCTCCGCGCCGCGCACCAGGATACCGATCATTGGGCGTGCCGAGCACTAGGCTGCCGAGAACCGCCATGACGAGCTCCCCATGGGTGCCGAGCACCTGCCTCTATGCCGAGCTCCATACGCCGTGGACCACGTCGATGGCGAGCACCCGCTGAGCCGAGCACCTTCATGCTAACCTGTCGCGCGCCGCGCGCCGTGCACCTCTGGTGCCGAGCATCTACCTCCATGCCGAGTACCTCACTGTGCCCCCCGCGCCGTTCTACCGAGCATCGCTCGGTGCCGACCCATGCCGGGCACTCCACGTGCCGAGCACTCCAACGCAAGGCCGAGCCCCCCATGCCGCCGAGCACTTGAGCCGACAGCCACTGAGGCCAAGCGCTCCATCATGAGTGGGGATGCCGACCACAACGCAATGCCGAGCACTTGAAGGCGCCGCGGGCTTGGAAACGCCGAGGACCTGGGACGCCAAGGACTCGGGTATGTCGATCACCCGGGTAGGCCGAACTTATGCGGACGCCGAGTTCTTATGTCGAACTGGGAGGTGCCGACGCCGACCACCCCACTCGTCGAGGTGCCGAGCACCACCTGCCAATGCCGAGCACTCCCCTCGTGCCGAGCACTCCCCTCGTGCCGAGCACTTCTAGACCAGGCTCCCCATGCCGAGCACTCCCACGCCGGGGATCACACCACGCCGGGGATCACCCGCGATGCCAACCGCGCCACGAAACCGAGCCCCCCGCGACGCTGAGCACCCGCGCCGTCGAGCACCATCATGACGCCGAACCCCTCATGCCGAGATGACGAGCTACCTAATGTCGTGCATCCACCAAGCTGCTCGATGTCGAGCACCATGAAGAACGTCGAGCACTCGGGGATGTCGAGCTACTAAGCCATAATGCGTCGACCCGCTGAGCGCCAAGCATATGTGGTCTTCAACCAATTTGTGCACCTTTCTCTTGCCTTTTGCTCATCCCTCTCAACCCCCTTATTTTTGAATTTTTAATGAAGGCACCTAGGTATAGCCACTCATCATCCTACCATCACATGTCACATTCATCACATGTCCTCCTTGGATGCCTCAATTGGCTTCTCCTCCAAGCCACATTCTCCACCCTTGATTTAATTTGAAATGTGTGGCCAAGATTAATCAAGACACACCAACCTTAACTCCATCTCTCCAACTATAAATACACATCCTCCGTTCCTCCATTCATCACTTTCTATTTCACAAAAATTCCTCTACTACATAATTTCTCTCTCTAAAAAAGAGAACACTCCATCCTTTGTTGAAATCCGACGTATTTCGTTCCAACGTGCACATACCCCCGACGGTCTTGTGTTCTTTCGTCGCTGAGCTCTCATCGGCCCGACGTCCACGCGCCTAGTCCCCGCGCCCGCCGAGCACTCCACGCACGCGCCATCTTTCCGCCGGGCTCTCGCCGAGGACACACCGAGCCCACAATGCCGAGCGTGCGGACCTCACGCGGACCCGACGACCACACACTTACCACCACTCACTATGGCGGCATCGGCGTCCTTCATGGGTACGCTCTCCTCGACTCACTCTTGCGATATACCTCAATTACTTTGCTTTATTCATGACAATTACTTTCGT